ACTTCAGAGCAGATCATTTTTTAACACCCCCTCCTCTATACAAAAACATTACTTTCAGTAATAATTATGAAATAAATAATGACAATAATGGTCAAATAAGAAATGCAAACAGTAAACATTGTAGTGGGCTGATATACAGTATATAATTGTTTCCCCAGCCTTGTTAATCTAAAGCAATGACCATCTAAAACTGCCAGTGTTCTGCTTTTTACTGCATTGCAAACATAGGAAAAATACACTACACTCTTTATGGATAGGACTTCTGTGTTGTTTCCTTGTTCTTGTAGTTAGTTCCCACTATCTGTTCCAGAAGCTAGTAAGAAAGCAAGAGGTATGTTTCATATATGAAAGACCCATATAGAGGGTATTGAAAAAAAGGCAGGCATTTCCACCGAGCATGTGCATTTACAGGGCAATGTCTAAACTGCAGAAGCTCTTTCAACTCATTCAGTGTCACACTGTAAGGCCCATACATAGATTATAACCATCCAATGAAGAAGAGAAGCTGCCCTCCATCATAAAAGCCTCCTGAGGAAGTCACGTGATGTGATGTAACGCATAGAGTGAGCCAATGACGTCAAGCTGTTAAACAGGAAGTTTACGAGCCGCCATCTTGGAAATTTCTGAACACATTGAAAATACATTATAACAAGGTTTTTTACTGTGGTGTCCCAGCAGGACACTTTTAAATATGAGTGCACTTTGTTTTTTAAATAAATCACGCTATATTTATATACTACACTATGGCAAGCATTTCTGTGTACATATGCGGAGGATATGTAGGATAAAGAGGAGATGGGACCATTTGCAGCAGAGTGAGGAGGAAAGTGGAGTCATCCATGCAGTATATCTACTCGGGTTAAAAGGAAAGGACGGAATCTGACCTATGCAATTTGGGTCATAAAAGGAGGTGAGAGTATATATGTATGTCTCTGGTGGAGGAGCACCTAAAGGAATTTATGTGGATATAAGCAATAAAGAGCACCTGTTTGGGAACAAATTATAACCACACGGATCAAGCACAAATTATGGACTTTTAAGTTGTTATCAGTGTATTCACCATTGCTGCATAATCACATGGTTTGGATGCTTTAATTCATATATGAGGTTATAGAGATATATGCGTGGCACTATTTTATGATATATCTTTTGTGTGTGGAAACGCATGTAATTGTCAGCAGCACTGGTATACACAGGAATTTGTGGAGTTATTTGTTGCGCTAAAGTTTTATTTGTACAAATTTTTTACTTTGTTTCAGACCTCTCTGAAGCTCATAAAGCAGGTTGCAGATTAAGGGGAAATGTGGAAGGAGTGGACCCATCAGTATTGCAGCAGCAGAACCAAGTAGGAGAACTTCCCCAAAGGAGGAGATACAGATGTGTAGAACTTGATATGTACTTGTGTCCATACAATTTTTCTTGTCACTGTACAGGTGAAACTCGAAAAATTAGAATATCATGCAAAAGTTAATTTATTTTAGTAATGCAACCTGAAAGGTGAAACTAATATATGAGATAGACTCACTACATGCAAAACAAGATAGTTCAAGCCGTGATTTGTCATAATTGTGATGATTATGGCTTACAGCTCATGAAAACCCCAAATCCACAATCTCAGAAAATTAGAATATTGTGAAAAGGTGCAATATTCTAGGCTCAAAGTGTCCCACTCTAATCAGCTAATTAAGCCATAACACCTGCAAAGGGTTCCTGAACCTTTAAATGGTCTCTCAGTCTGGTTCAGTAGGAATCACAATCATAGGAAAGACTGCTGACCTGACAGTTGTGCAGAAAAGCATAATTGACACTCTCCATAAGGAGGGAAAGACTTAAAAGGTAATTGCAAAAGAAGTTGGATGTTCCCAAAGTGGTGTATCAAAGCACATTAAAAGAAAGTTATGTGGAAGGGAAAAGTGTGGAAGAAAAAGGTGCACAAGCAGCAGGGATGACCGCAGCCTGGAGAGGATTGTCAGGAAAAGGCCATTCAAAAGTGTTGGGGACTTTCACAAGGAGTGGACTGAGGCTGGAGTCAGTGCATCAAGAGCCACCACACGCAGACGGATCATGGACATGGGCTTCAAATGTCGTATTCCTCTTGTCAAGCCGCTCCTGAACAACAAACAACGTCAGAAGCGTCTTACCTGGGCTAAAGAAAAACAGACCTGGTCTGTTGCTCAGTGGTCCAAAGTCCTCTTTTCTGATGAGAGCAACTTTTGCATCTCATTTGGAAACCAAGGACCCAGAGTATGGAGGAAGAATGGAGTGGCACACACTGCAAGATGCTTGAAGTCCAGTGTGAAGTTTCCACAGACTGTGTTGATTTGGGGAGCCATGTCATCTGCTGGTGTTGGTCCACTGTGCTTCATTAAGTCCAGGGTCAACGCAGCCATTTACCAGGAGATTTTGGAGCACTTTATGCTTCCTTCGGCAGGCGAGCTTTATGGGGATGCTGACTTCATTTTCCAGCACGACTTGGCACCTGCCTACACTGCCAAAAGCACCAAAACCTGGTTCAATGACCGTGGGATTACTGTGCTTGATTGGCCAGCAAACTCGCCTGACCTGAACCCCATAGAGAATCTATGGGGCATTGCCAAGAGAAAGATGAGAGACATGAGACCAAACAACGCAGAAGAGCTGAAGGCCGCTATTGAAGCATCCTGGTCTTCCATAACACCTCAGCAGTGCCACAGGCTGATAGCTTCCATGCCACGCCGCATTGAGGCAGTAATTGCTGCAAAAGGGGCCCAAACCAAGTACTGAGTACATATGCATGCTTATACTTTTCAGAGGTCCGATATTGTTCTATGTACAATCCTTGTTTTAGTGATTGCATGTAATATTCTAATTTTCTGAGATTATGGATTTGGGGTTTTCATGAGCTGTAAGCCATAATCATCACAATTATGATAAATCACGTCTTGAACTATCTTGCTTTGCATGTAATGAGTCTATCTCATATATTAGTTTCACCTTTAAGTTGCATTACGAAATAAATGAACTTTTGCACGATATTCTAAATTTTCGAGTTTCACCTGTATATGCGTAACCCAATCCTCATTTGTGATATTCCATAATAATGAAGTGTACTGTATTAAATAAACCCCAATCTTCAAGAACTACATTTTGTATACAGGGTAAACGTGAAATATGTTTACAGCTATCAACCAATTAAAGACATAAGCAATTGACAGCTTTCTTTATTACTTTCAGCATAATCACACTTGGTTTTCAAACAAAGCAAATACTGACATAGTATAAAATACTTACAACACAGTTAATAATAGAAAAAAAGACTATAAAATGTTTAATTTTAAAAATAGCATCTGTGGAATGTCTGTGGTTAATTTAACTACAAAAATATTGTACAACTCATTCTCAAATATACAAAAAAGGAAAACACTTTTATAAAGTTAACATCTGTAAAAATATCACATAGAAAAATGTGGTACCGTTTCATTCTATGAATCTATACATCTATGTGGGACAGGAAAATGATGATATAAATAGTAAATAAAATAACCTTTTCTGGTTCCTTCCTACGCTAAGAAATAAATGCTTTTCCATGTAGAATTTCTAGTCTGCTATGCTTATACCTTATATTTACACCTCTACGTCTACCTTGCAGACATAAAAGAGTGCACAGTGTCTATCTCCATTGGCAGTACTCGAGTGCTTTATTGAACCATTATGTACTAAACTGAATGAACATTGTAAATATGGATGAAATCTCTTCTGACTATGTCCCTAAGAACCAAGCTTTATGTTCCCATGACATTGAGTATTTCTTCTGAAGGTGGGCTGAAGCAATGGCTAACATGCTACACATTAATTTGTGATGATATATTATAGTTGGGCTCTAATAAATATTTTTAACTGTTCCGAAAAAAGTTTAAATTCTTTCTAAAGTGGTTAAAGAAGGAATGTTCAATCCTTGGATGAGAGTGAGGTGAGTTGTTATTATATGCGTTGTATGCATTAACTTCTATGATCCCGATTTCGAGATCTTCTGTCTAAAATTTGCGGTGATGCCCTGCTTAGTGGCTGGAATGATGATGGGAAATCATCCCAGGTCGGACAGCTAAATCTGGCTAGTTGCAGAGCAGGGGTTATCGAAAAAGAAGTGGCACTGCAAAGTGTAGGACATGGATCTCCAGTTCAAGAAAGCAAGTGAAAAGCACATTAGTGTATTTATTTAGAGCCAGCATTTCTGTGCTAGTTATTTAATGTGTGGTGCCTAGGCCAGAACCATTTCCCTAGTTTATCATTTTGAAATGCCCTGATATTTCAGATGATTTCTAGCTAAAGTCCCTGATTCCATTGTGATGCAAGAAGGAGCTGCTCATTGGATCTGCTGTAACCGAGAGCTGATATTTTATGCCACTTTCAGCACTACCTACTGTTGAATTTTGTATTACAGCACCACCTCTTAAATACAATTGTGCCTTCTCTGTACCAATATATATGAAGAGACATACTTTAGTCAATCCTTGCTTAGAAAAGAGTGAAGGTGAACTGAGGAAATTTTCATGTTACCACGCAGATAGGTAATGGACAGATGTAAATTCTCTAACATGTATTATGCAAAGTCCTGTAAGAAAGGTTTTCATTCTTACTGTATTTTCTAAGTTGAACTCCAGGCAGATAATACAAACGCAGTTCAATACAGTTATGCATTCATTAAAAATAATCAAATGTATTTTTTAATTTGCCACTAATAAATGTCCCTTAACAGCTGCAGTTAAAAGTGAGTTCACCAGCCTGTCTTACAGAGCTGTGCAAATCTCAGGACTGGCTGGACAAAATTACAAATCAATTGTCGGGTAAAAAAGCTCCTATGTGTGTGTTTACCGCTGCTCTACCTGGAGTTCAGCTTTAGTTATGTAACAATTATAATTCTTTTGTAGTTCCTGCCAGAGATAAAATATTATTAACATCAATGTATGATCATTGTGCTCCTGTAATCTTTGCTCATTTAGCTTGTGTATTCTTCTTTAGGCTCAACAACTGTTTTGAGAGGTCTGTGTATCGTATTTTCTGAAGCTGGACCTGGTGAATAGTCCCCTAAAAGACAAAAAAGTCACAGTGAAGGATTATTTGAGCCACATAGCATGACAAGAAAAATATCAATGCAAAAAAATAACTTGTTGCAAACAAAAAACTAAACCATAAAATAAACATTCCAAATTGCCTTCTGCCTTGAATGTGTTGGATCTCATATCAGAGGAATGTATATTGTTATCTGTATTTTAAAGTATCTCTATAGCCAAAACCATTTTGTTTAGTTGTGGATAGAGTGGGGAAGGATTAGAACCCCTGTCAGGTTTTACTGTCTAGGTTGTGTTAGGAAGATTTTCTCCCACTTCCTTTTTTGCAGATATATGTTTCCAGATGATGAAAAATGTGCAAGAGGAAAACAGCCAACAATAAAAAGCTGTCATTGATCTACTTAACTTGAAAAAAAAAACATCTCTTTTTTGCGGCAATAGAGAGTTTCCTTCACTTCCTGTCCTCTGAAAAGGTTGTCCCTGCGACAATGAGTAAGGGGAAATCCATAATGGAGTCCCAAACTACAGTAAAACTGCACAGGGGTTCAAATCTTTTCCAAATATATCTCAAACTAGAAATAATAGTTTTGGCATTAGCTACACTTTGGGGGAGTGGACAGATGCCCTTCCTTACCCTACATAGGAAAAGTGGAAAGTCTTTAATCCTAGCTCAGTGTTCAGAGACTAATACCACTTCTACTGGAATAATAGTGTGCAATTAAAGTGATACAAAATTTGTTTTTCTTTTAAAATAACAAACACATCATTCTTATCTGCTCTGCCTAGCAGTTTTGCACAGAGCATCCTGGATCCTCCTTTTCTCGAGTTCCCCGTTGGCACTCCTGGCCCCTGCCTCCTATCTGGTGCCCCCACAGCAAGCAGCTTGCTATGGGGCACCCAAGCAGGTGTGCTCCAGAGCCGCGGCTCTGCGTGTCCATTCACACACAGATCTACGGCTTGACCCTGCCCCCTCCCTCTCTTGATTGGCTCACTGGCTGTGATTGACAGCAGCTGGAGCCAATTGTTCCTACTTCTGCCTCAGCCAATCAGGAGTGAGAGTTCCTGGAGAAAAAAAACCTGGAGCCTTTAGAACCACGTTAAGCCTGTTTGAAGCCCTTATATTGTTTTTTATATGCATTGCTAGGCAAAACAGGTTTGTTCCCTGTGCAAATTCACCTTTTTTGGGGGCTAGATCCTACGGGGTGCTGGGGTGTGTATGCCCCCCAGAATTTGGTCTTGTCCCCCTATAACCAGTGGAATCAGCTAGACGGACCCTATAATGAGGCACTGAAGCCCAGCCCAATCCACCACAGCTGAAGCACAGCAGTCACTGTCAGTGAAGTGTTTAGCCTGAAGCCATCTCCAGATGGAAGCTAGAAGACAGACTGGCCTGGCCACACCATCTAAAACTGGCCATAGATAGATTTTCAACAGGGCCTGGCCAACATTTGATCCATGTATAGCCACTGTGGTTGAACAGAAGTCGATCTACCGACTGACTTCTGTACAACTGCCCTGTCAAATTTTCCTTGCTTGATCAGTGATCAGTTTCCCCACTGTGAGAATACAATAGCTCAGCAGGGAGGGTTACCCTATCCACATTGAATGTGTGGATGGGGAAAATAAATCAGTTTTTGTTCGCTCATTTCGCTGTTTGAGTGAAATAGTGACTAATGTACAGACTGCCTAAGAGTGTGTGAATGGGTCAGTGAATAGGCAAAGGTTCTGTTTAATCATCCTCTTTAGGCCACCCCACTGTTATGCACAGTCTTCCTATACCTACCATTCACCACGGTGCACATAGCCACAAGGATAAATGGAAGGTCTACTGATACTATGCACCCCACTATCAGACTGGTTAGATCTGGCCTTGACCTTCAGGAATACTTTCCAAAAATCCCCCTATACAAGTCTATAGCCTTGGAATAGTACATACAGCTCTCTTACTGTTATAAATGGGGCATAACCACCTATTGCAGGTGCAGCTGTTATGGGGTCTCTCTGAAGAGCAGCCGCTAGGTGCAAACAGCAGAATGGAGAGGGGTAATGAGCCAGTGTTTTTTTGTGGAGAAACCCCCAACTGCATCTGTAATGGGAGCATGTGTACAATGTACAACAGGTGGAGCTTTGATATGTACTATTCCAACAATATAGAATAGCATAGGAGGATTTTTGGAAAATCTTCCTGAAGGTGAACTTACACATGAATTTATTTCAGGTACTGATATAGCGCTGTCAATTTTTCACAGCGCTTTACACATATATATATATTGAACATTCACATCAGTCCCTAACCCTCAAGGGGTGTACAATCTAAGGTCCCTAACTCACATTCATACATACACATAATACTAGGGCCAATTTAGACAGGATCCAATTAACCTACCAGCATATCTTTGGAGTGTGGGAGGAAACCGGAGCACCTGGAGGAAACCCACGCAAGCACAAGGAGAACATGCAAACTCCATGCAGGAGGCGCCATGGTCGGGAATCAAACCCATGACCCATTTGCTGCAAGGCAGACATGCTAACCACTAAGCCACTGTGCAAGAAGATAGTATAACTTTGTTTAGACATTAGTTAAAAATTTCAGTTAATTATAAAAACCAAGACTAGACTATCTGCCTGCTTTCCATATCAGCATTCATATATCAGAATGGCTGATATCAGACTGGCATAAAAACTTGTGGTCAACAAATACATTCTCTGTTAATTAGACATCCCTATGACAAGAACAAAACACAGATCAAGCTTGCCTGCAATTCCCTGCATGCCTGGAATGCTTTCACCTAGCTCCAGCCATCTGTGAAGTGAAGGAAGACTCCAGCCCACTACTCTGAGAATCCTTATTCTGTTTACAATCTACAGAAATAAAAGCTTCTTTGTCACTAAGCCATTTGTCAGTCACAAACCAGCTCAAAGCATGTACAAGTTTCCCACTGAATAAACAGACTGTGGCACACTGGCAATGACATTGGTAATGGACAAGTGTTACAGGACACACACGAAGCCTGATCAAGGCGTCAGGGAGTGATTTACACTCCCTATTTTTATCATGAAGTAAACACTCCATCAGCAAGAAATGTCAAATATGTTCCTTGCAGAGATAAAAAATGAAAGCCGAATGTATGATCCAGGTGCTGAGTGCATACCTTCTTATAAAGTTGGTATTTGCAGTAGGAATTTGAAGCACAGTAAGAGCCTGTAAGATATCTACATCTTACTTCTATCACATATCCCAAAAAAGGGATGGAATCCTCATTTTAGGAAAGTTGGTAAGTCACGCAAAGCATTTCTTTATGCCCATATTATATTATAATGTATTATATACACTGCTCAAAAAATTAAAGGAACACTTTGAAAACACATCAGATCTCAATGGGGAAAAATCTCATACTGGATATCTATACTGATATGGACTGGGTAATGTGTTAGGAACGTAAGGATGCCCCATCGTTTGATGGAAATGAAAATTATCAACCTACAGAGGACTGAATTCAAAGACACCCTGAAAATCAAAGTGCAAAAATTATGCAGCAGGCTAGTCCATTTTACTGAAATTTCATTGCAGCAACTCAAAGTGGTACTCAGTAGTTTGTATGGCCCCCACGTGCTTGTATACATGCCGGACAACGTGCATGCTCCTAATGAGATGACGTATGGTGTCCTGGGGTATTTCCTCCCAGATCTGGATCAGGGCATCACTGAGCTCTTGTACAGTCTGAGATGCAACCTGGCGTCGTCGGATGGAACGAAACATGATATCCCAGAGATATTGTAATGTATTTAGGTCAGGCGAGCATGTGGGCCATTCAATGGTATCAATTCCTTCATCCTCCAGGAACTGGCTGCATACTCTCGCCACATGAGGCCGGGCATTGTCATGCACCAGGAGGAACCCAGTACCCACTGCACCAGCAAAGGGTTTGACAATGGGTCCAAAGATTTCATCCCGATACCTAATGGCAGTCAAGGTGCCAGTGACCACAGGGTCCACTAGAGGACACCAGGCCCTAGGGCCACCCTCATGAATTTTGTTTATGATTGTTTGGTCAGAGACATTCACACCAGTGGCCTGCTGGAGCTCTGGCAATGCTCATCCTGTTCCTCCTTTCACAAAGGAGCAGATAACAGTCCTGCTGATTGGTTAAAAAAAACCCCACAGTTTACTATGCTTCAGTTATGAATGAACACTGTGCGTTATTGGTAGTGATCACTTATTGTGTTCAGTCAGGAAAGAAAGGGGCTGGTAAATGTGAAATATATTTACCAGACCCTTCCCCCACTCTCTATCATGTAGGATCCTATTGGGTGCTTGCAGCTGCCAGTGGAAAGGAGAGGAGGGAAGCCAGCAGCACTGTGGGGACCTGGGCAGCATGGGGAAACGTAAGGTGCACAGGGAGGGTTATGGGTGCAGCAGGGGGGCAATTACTGGATCCAAACCCCTGTATGGCTCTCTGCAGCAGCTGAAAGCCAGATTTCAGCTGCTACAGAGAAAGCCATATAGGAGATCTGTTCCAGTAATTCCCTGTTGTGGCTATCACCCTCCCTGCCCATACAGTTGCAAGAAAAAGTATGTGAACCCCTTGGGATTACGTGGAGTTTTGCATGAATTGGGCATAAAATGTGCTCTGAATGTCATCTAAGTCACAACAATAGAAGAACACAGTCTGCTGAACATAATACTACACAAACATTAGATGTTGCCATGGTTTAATTGCACATAACATGTAAACATTCACAGTGCAGGGAGGAAAAAGTATGTGAGGCCCTAGATAATGACTTCTCCCAGAGCTAATTGGAGCCAGGAGTGAGCCAACCTTGACTCCAATCAGTGTGATGATATTGGATGTGTTGCTGACAGCTGTCCTGCCCTTGAAAAACACACACCTGTTTTGGGTTTACTGGTTTCAAGAAGCACTGTCTGATGTGAACCATGCCTCGCAGAAAAGAGCTCTCAGAAGACCTACGATCAAGAATTGTTGACTTGCATGAAGCTGGAAAGGGTTACAAAAG